ATTATTATTATTATTATTATTATTATTATTATTATTATTATTATTATTATTATTATTATTATTATTAATGTGTTAATGCATTTATTAATTTATCTATTTATTTTCATATTTTTGTTTGGTTGTTTGTTTGTTACTGCAGCAGGGGGCGCTGCAGAAATTCGCTCAAGGTTTACATTTCCGTTGTTGGGCTGGTTCAATATCTCATGTGAGTTCTGACAGTTTAGCTCGTATTTCTGTCTCCTTCGTCGGCTCGGAGCTACTCCATTATGCTGAAGTGAACTTTTCTTTCACAAGCCAGGAGAAAATTCGTCTACATGGTATGACAGCGTCTTGTTTATCGTCATTTCGTACCTTGATGGTTAATGATATACAGTTCAGAGTGCAGGCTCACATCGCTGATTTACTCGTTGTTACACGTTATTTTCCTGGTTCTGATCCCTGTTTTTGTGTGTGAATATTGGAGAAAGACAGACTGACAAATTTAGCTTGGTTCGTAGGAAGTATTTAGAAAAAGAAAACGATCCCAACGGGTTAAACTTCTTTTATTTTAAATAACGTCAAAGGATCTTCTTAGTTGGACTTGTAGGTGGTTCCCCACAAAATTTTTTAGGGGGAACCATATTTGAATTGTCCTTGCTCTATACGTATTTGGAATTAATCACCCATCCTTATTCGTGTTTAAAAACAAGTGAACGTTTCCTATAACTGGTTTGAACGTTTCTTTTCCTCGTCTGAGTCAGCTAACCGGGCATCGTCACTTTGTGTTGGGAATGTTTTTATCCAGCATGTAAACAATTACGGGAGAAGACAGAGACGCATGAATTATTGAGTAAAATATTTCTACTTTCACATTTTATCACTTTACATAAAACAATGAAATGTTTAGTGTACTGAACTTGAAAGTACATTATTCTGTTTAATCAATTGTTCGCTATTTTAATCACGTTTATCCTGAATGCTTTGGTTTACAGTCATAGGCAACTTCCTGTTGTCTATGACTGTTGCCTACATAAAAAAGCCATTAAAAAAGCCATATATTTGGCTTTTTAAACCTTAACATTTCTGATTTTGTACCGCATACATAATCATTTTCAAACTTTAATTTTTCAGTGGTTTCCAGGCTTTTAACTCAAGAAAGTTGTGATAATTTCCTTGGCAAAAATTGAACAGCATGGTTAAAAAAAAAAAAGCAAAGCTATAACATTTAGATTTTTTTTTTTTAGTTGGATAGGAGCAGATCTTTTATAATGACAAAGAATGAATAAACCGAATGAAAGGCATTAAAAACTGGGTGATAAATTTGTACAAATAAACACCAGTGGTCACCTTGGTGACCTGGCTGCTCATGGTCTACTGTTGTTCAACTGTTGAATTGTTTCACTTTCATTTAACTCTGTGATGCTTTGTTGAAACAGGACATTTCAACAAAGTGCCACACTAAGGAGGCTCGGCATGTTTAGGCAACTGACTCAAATCATGTGATTCACAGACTGTAACTTGGTTTATTACATAATAGAAAATATAGTATAATGCTGTGAAGAGTCTGGGGGAGCATTAAAGGAGTACTGAGTGTTGGAATGATCTCAAAATGTTTCTAAATCATTAAAACTGTTTCAGTTTAGGTGTAATTTACAGTTTGTTGTCAAAGGACTTTTACTCTTGAGTGTTTTCTATGTATCGTCGCATTACAACCACAAACATCCACGTATTTTCTGAAGGAACATGAATATGATACGTTTTTTTTTTAATGTTTTACAAGCAAAAGACTGAAAGGTATGTATGCTGTGCATTTATATTAATAATATATTAATCTTATTCATTTTTGCTTGAATGCTTGCTTAAGTTTATTCAGAATGAATGGAGAGTGTGTCTATAAACTCATCATGAATCAACTGGATTTAGGCCTGCATTTTGACAGAGCTATCTTTTGATTTAGAGTATTGCACTGCAACTCAGTTAACCAACAAATACTCTGGCTGGACTTGTTGGTTAAGGCTGGTAACGACACAGATGGAAACAGAGGCCACTGGCCTCTGGTGCATCACAATAGGAAGATGTTGGATGACTGGAAAGTTTTAGCCTTACTTCTAAAGAAATAAGGCCGGCAAAAATAAAATAAACGGTGCGTGTTTGTGGTTTGGCTTGTATAAACAGCAATGCCACCCTTCCCTCTGCTCGTTTATTCGTGTCATGTAAGCTCTGAAGTTTGCAATTGATATTTGGAGTCTCAATGGTAAGATAGGATCTGCTAAAATCTGTCTTTTTATATATATATACTTACAGTTAACATGGCTGTTTTTTTACTGCTTCTGCAGTACTTTATAATGTACTTTATAACATTTTGTGGTTTCTTGTAATTTGATCAGCTCTTCAAACTTTCTTTAAGTTTTTGTTTAAGTATCTATTTTAAATTACAAAACATGAGTGGAGAGGGAGCAGAGGGGAAATCCATCACGGCACATAAATACTAAATGAAAGTAAAACAAGACATTCGTCTTGAAGTATTTCGACAGATGGGAGTGGATATGTAGGCTTAACTTAACATAAGATAGAAATGTTGAATGATACTCGCTGAAAAATCAGTTGAGGCGATCGCTCCCGTTTCTCCTCCAGCCAGCCGCTTTATGAATTCGCCCTTACAGGCCTAAAACGATGAACTGTTCACAGTGAGGAAATGCTGTAGCTTCATCTGCAGTAATCCTGTTATTTATGTCGATAAAGTCAGAGTAAGTCACTAAACGCATTAGATGCTCCAGACGGTTAACACAGTCAAACTTTTAGTTTTATTTCAGGTTGACGACTATCCAAAGCTTTAAAACTCATTCAAAAAAATGCCCTCCTCTTAAATACATAAATCATATTTGCATAGGGACATTTTTAGAGCAAGTCATAAGGAAGTGTTTTTCTCTGCTCTAGTAAACATGTGCTGACATGTCCAAAAGCTTTCAGAAAAAAATAATATACCCCATCAAATGCCCTGTTCTTTATTGATAGATATATCTATATCGATCTGTTTTTATTGTGGCAAAAAAAAAAAAAAAAGATTTGCACTTAGCCAAAATCAACCCTTTTAGACTAATTATTAGCAAAGATAATAAAATGAAATGGCTTCAGTGAGACTCTCCTGAGTCATTGCTCTGCATCAAGATCCATACTTACCTGGACACCGAAGGGCTACAAAAATGTTTTTATATTTTGAACGTTCATAATTTTTTGTAGCTCATTTCAGAAAGAGAAACCTACATATTGACATATTGTATAGATTTGCTACATAGAGTGAAATATTTCAAGTCTTCTTGTAATTTTGCTTAAAGAAAACAGCAATCCTGTTCTGTTTCTTCTTGGCGCAGGCAAGACGCTTCTGATGTTGTCTGGTTCAGGATATTCATACCCGTAAGACGTGTCTGAGCGTGTTGGCTTACGCCTTGGATCGATCCCTTCATTTTTTTTTTTTTTTTTAAAGGATTTATCTTGACAGTCAGGCTGAAGTTAAGACTGTTCCTTCCACTTGACTTTCTTTCAATATGCCATAACTTTTCTGAGACACCGAATTTTGTGTTCTCGTCAAAATTACGACAATCCTCTTTGTGTAGGGAATCATGAGTTTAGATTCTTAAAATGAGTTACAAAACCCCTGAACTTTCCACACATGAGAATGTTCAAACAAGTTTGATTGTAAGTTGAGGCCTATTTGTTTCATGGAGTAGGAGACTGATCCAAATGAAAGGCACACAAAATCCTCAAGCGTCTGTAATGACTTTACCCTGTAAACATTTTTTTTTTTTTTTTTAATGACAGGAAATGGATTTCCAAAAGGCTCTACTTGAAGTGGGTAAAACCTTGTCCACTGATGAGGTGGAAGCACTGTCTTTTCTGTGCACTGACATCTTGAGCAGAAAACCAGTCTCTCTGGATTGCGCCAGCAACCTCTTCTCCTTACTCATGAAAGAAGACCGTCTGTCGGCTGGAAACCCACAGCTCCTGGTGGAGCTTCTCCTCACCATCCAGCGCCCTGTTATTTTGCAGAACATTAAACTTTCTTTCCAATCGTCTTCACCCAGCACCCTCATCTCACCCTACAGGTGGGCTTTCTTCATTTTTTTTTTTTTTTTCATAACAGTAAAACAAGATTTTGTTATTGGTTCAAGTGGATTTAAGAGTTGAGCAGAAATCAAAAATGTCAGGGTGCACCGATTGCAGTCTTCTGGCCAATCAACAATCTTTTAAAAAGCCTCACCCGCCGATTCCGATTTTGGCTGATACCAGTTTTTTTTTGTTTTTTGTTTTTTGTCTGAAATGTTGCAAAGTATAGCAAGAAAGTCACCGAGTTGGTAACAGTGGGGTGACTATTGTAAACTGCAAATGTGTTCAGACAGGACCTGGTGGGCCCGTCTATCAGTCAAACCGCTCCTATAAAGAGGACAGTGGTTTAGTTTTTTATTTTTTAGACCTTTCCTGAGGCAGAGAAGATTGGCTTCACGTGTAAGTTTTCAGTCGATCACCGATCTCCCAGAACTAAGGAAATTGGCACAAATAAATCGATGCACCCCTATAAGAATGTGTTTTTCTCCTGATTCTAGGACAGTTTTCTTCTTGCTTCTATGTGCTTAAAAACAACCCAACTCATTAGAGTTTAGGAAACCTTTTGAGTTTTGAATTGAAAAATATTTTGGGACCCTGGACAGAAAATGAAATAAACAAAAAGAAAATCCACAAACAAACAAATAAATTTGCTTATTTTTGTAACACCTACTATGCAAAATTTGGTTTTTAAATTACATAATAATGATTTTTGTTTTAAGTTTAATTACATTTCCTTTAATGTGACATTCACAGTAATATCAATGAAATAAAAAAAAACACATAGTTGCAACCAATCGTCAGAAAGAATATTCCTCACACTATTGTCATTTTTTGTGGAAATATTTTTGCCTGAAAATATCTACCAAAACACTGCAAAAGTTGGTGTTTTTAAGTTGTTTTTGTGTTTCGAAATAGTTCTCAAAATTTTTTTAGCTATTTCCACCAAAAGTTAAAGCCAAGAATAAGTTCTTTCTTAGTCTGAAGATTTTAATCAGGAATGTGCATTATTGAAAAATGTTGAACCTTTTCTACGATCTCACACAATCGCTCTTGTTTCAGGAAGCTGCTGTATCGCCTGTCACAACAAATTACCGAGGAGGAGCTCGGAGAAATGAAGTTCCTGCTAACGGACATCCCACGAAGAAGACTTGATCAAAAAGTAGAGTGATCCTTGCTGTGTTTTTCCCTGCCCAGATGAGGTTCATCTGCAGCGGAGGCTTTTTTCTTTTATTCTCATCTTCTCCTTTTTAACCTTAAATCTTCGAAGGCTTGTTGGAAGAAATATCTACACGGATGTTCAAGAAGCCAGAAATTGTTTGAAACATTTGCACGTCACTGCAAGTTTAACTATAAAGCATTCTTTACTCTGCAGTCTACGCTGGGAGTCTTCCTGGAGATGGAGCACATGGACCTCATAAATGAATCTAGTCTCGAATATCTGGAGTCCATATTTAAGTCAGTGTGTCCTGCGCTGAATGAAGAGATTCGTCTCTATAGGAAAGGTAAGCCATTGAAAATCATAGATATGAACCAAATGAGGAACATGACCTGTCCATTTCAAACCCCACGCATTAATACTTTAAATATCCCATTACTTAAATAGTGTAGGGCGTTTGTTATGGATGCACAGCTTAAGGACTGCACAAACAGTTCTTAAACCCTCTGACATGATGAATGTTACATTATACACATTCATCGAGCCAAAATAAGAGATATTTTACAAGATTGCACTTTTATAGAGGAGGGGAAAGAGGAGTTGGACCTCATTAAATGGAAAACACATCTGTAAATATTCTTACTCCATCAAAAGCTTGCTTCCGTTCCCAAAACAAGATTTTTTAGTTTTGTTTTGTTTTGTTTTCTTTCAGAAATTGGGCATCCAGTGTCGCAACCTTTGACAAGCCAGGTAAATCATCTATTAAAGATTAGACATCTGTTCTTTTGCTACACTCCAGCTATCTTTTTATACACATATATATATATATATATATATATATATATATATATATATATATATATATATATATATATATATTTTTTTTTTTTTTTTTTTTTTTTTTTTTTAAACCCCAAACCTTTCCAAAGGAATGACTTCCCGGAAAAAAAAGGGAAGTCATCT